TCAAACACCGCCTAACCTCCTTTAGGCATTAAAGAATTCTAAGAGAATTAGAATTTAGAGAGAAAAAATTTCCGCTTCACCCAGTCGTGTGAATATTTAATAATGCTCAAAGGCGCCTTTGATCGTATCTGAGAAATTGTCTGGGTTATTAGGTATCTACCGGGGGTATTACGAGTAACTGGACTCACTATCGCTGGTTATCACGGGCTCGTTTATTTTTGTACTTATGGAATTGACCTACTGATCGATAAATGCTTTATAGAGGAAAGAAATTTCCGCAAATTGAGGATTTTTTTTTTATTATTTTCGTCGAGTGACCTACACTGAGAGAAAAACGACAGAGTTCTCAGACAAGCCTTACTTGCGCCAAAGAAATAGTTTTTTAAAAATGATCGAAAAAGAATTTTTTGCGCGAACATGCAAAGAGTGCGACGAGATGAAACATTTTTGTCGCAAAAATGGATTTTCATAACTTGTGCGTAAAGTGAAATTTTAGGAAATTCCACTTTCCACACATTGAGATGAAAATTAGGATTCGGCGAGCGCTCCACGCCTCCCACGGGTCAAACAACAGTTTTTCATCACGGTGTGCGAAAAAATAACTTTCCACACAAACCTCTCGCTGTGCGAAAACGCCCCTTTCCACACATTGTGATGAAAAATATCGTTCGATACTCGTGGGAAAAGTTTTTTTTGGCTCGTGCGATTATATCACTCGCCTTCGGCTCATGCTATAAATCTCCCACAAGTCAAAATAACTATTCCGTCACTAGGCAAATAGTATTTTATGGCACTCATGCCTGAAACCGGCTGGATTACACACTCGACGCTTCGCGTCTCGTGTCTAATTCAGCCGGTTTCAGGCTTCGTGACATAAAATTTTGTTCAGTACTTGTTGGGAAATTTCGTCCTTAACGTGTGTGGTTACATCACTCGCCTTCGGCTCATGCTGTAAACCCCACACACGTTAAAGACGANTAGCCAATAGTAAAAAACGACTTAACCCGGTTTACCGCTTCGCTACTGATTTGTGAAGTTTCAATTTTTAAATAAACTGAAAATTGTCGGTGATAATCGAGAGGTTCAAGCGTATAACGATGAATGATGTTTTTGTGACCTTCTGTGTTCTATCAGCCCACAGTTGGCGGACTTTACCCGTGGGCTGTCGCGTAGTGACTGTACGTGAAGGATTCCACAACGACAACGTGCGCGTATAGGAATTTAATAAGAAAAGAACACCGCGACCCGCGCAAACGAACAAATGGGACAGTATAACTGTATAAGTTTGACCGCCAAACACTTTTTTACTCAACTTGGTCGGGGTGTTTGTCTTGAGATGAAAATGATTACGAGTTGGTGAAACTAGTTATTGAGAATTTCAATATAATCATGAGTGAGGGATTGTACTTCAAATGAGTTGAATGAAAACTCGAGAGGTGTACGCTATTCTGAAAGTGACTGCCTTCGGTTTTGCATCGAATTTCCTAATAGGCGTCAATAAAAATAAATCGTCTAATTAATTATTCCAGCGGATGAATGGTGAAGCGTGACGAGTCGATTTCCCACAGCTCATTGAATGTTGAATTCCGTAGCGAAGTGGTAAAGCGGTTTAAGTCGATTTTGACAATTGGCCAGTTTTTAGTGAATATCTTGGAATCTAAGGGAGATAGCTGAATTTTTGTTCAGACCTTTCTTGTAGCACTCAATTTGCTCTAGAAAAAAAGTTATTACGAAAATTTTCTTATCTCCTTTAGATTCGGGGATATTCTTCAAAAACTCAACGAAGGGATAAGTCGACTTAAACCGTTTTACCACTTTGCTACTGAATTATTTTCATGATGAGTAATTCCAGAAGTAAATGTTGGAAGACACCATTCATTGAAAATTTTCCCATAAAAAACGCTTGTTCCTCTCTGATGGAAGACTTTGTGACTTGTGAGATTTTTTTCAAGATTTCTTTACATGAAGTCGCATACCCTGAGAGGAACAGGTGGGAAATTACTTTTGTCAGAACATAATTAATATATTTTTGCGAGCAAATCAGGAATTTCTTTACGAATGGAATTTCTGTGATGATTTATTTTAAATTGAATTCAATGATTCATTGAATTAAAAAAAACTGGCAGGTTGGAGCGAAAAGGCGGGTTCAAAAGAAAATTTATGAAATTCAAAATTCATTTACTCATGATCTATTGCGAATAAAGTAAAACGGATACTTAACTTTATTGTTTGGAGTGGCATCGCGATAGAAGCCATTTGACAGATTACATATGACTGCTACTCTCCTCACGGAGACAAATTTTACATAAAAATTACGTATTGTTTCCGTAATTCCGGAGCGCGATATGATTGTAGGAAATTTTACAGAACGTTTTATGACATTTCTAGGCATTTTCACCGAAAATTAAGAAATCGAAAAAAATCACGATTACAAAGTTTCCATTCGGAAGCAAAAAGCTAAAATCGTATGAAAACTACGGCGCAAGGATCATTTTGAAGGTAAAAACAGGAAAAAATGACTCTTCGCAGTGATACGGGGCAAAATCGATCGCGTCCGCCATTTTCCCTAGTTATTTCCACATTCCGTCATATATCACAAACTGTTCAATGGGTCCCATGCGCGCAAGGCCCAGTGAAGACTTAAATTTCACTGACGTATCCCCTTGAAAGGATTTAGGGAACAATTGGGTAAAATGAACACTTTTTACTTTTTTTCAAATGTTAATGACTCATTGAATTGTTAATAAAATTGTATCATTTTTTTTTTCAATAAAAAGGGTAATTCTTCCTCCTTGTGATGAGTCTAGACTGAGCTCAATTGATAAATATAGGGGAGGATGGGGTAAAATGGAAGCTTTGGACTTTTAAAAAATTATTCATAACTCAGAAACAAATTTATCAATTGAACTCAGTTTAGGCTCGTCACAAAGGGAAATAATTGTTCTTTGTATTAAAAAAAAATTACGAAATTTTATCAACATTTCAACCCCTCATTAACATTCAAAAAAAAGTGAAGTGTCCGTTTTACCCCAACTTCCCCTACTGATGAGTTATGAATATTTTAAAAGAAGTGAAAAGTGTCCACTTTACCCCACCCTCCCCTAGATCTCGTATTGTCAGCATGAAGGACGTGTGTATAATTTGAGTAGGGGAGATTGGGGTAAAACGGGCACTTTTGACTTTTTTTAAAATGTTAATGAGGGGTTGAAATGTTGATAAAATTTACTAATTTTTTTTTCAATACAAAGAACAATTCTTTTTCTTCGTGACGCGCCTAAACTGAGCTCAATTAATAAATTTGTTTCTGAGCTATGAATAATTTTAAAAAAGTCTCAAGTGTCCATTTTACCCCACCGTCCCCTACCCGTTGTGACAAACAAACCCGAACAAATGGTAGATCATTACCTGAACTTCAATCTCAGATCCCCTACCGACAAATCACTGACAGGTGATCCATTCGCAGCACAATCACACGTCTTGCACTAATCACTGTTATGTGGTTTTACACGCAGTGAGTAGATTCTCCCCGCTTATTCTATTTGTGGCCACAGTCGCCCGACCCCACTCAATGTTCGCCTCTTTTTCCCGTGTTAATGACGTGAATCCCAATGAAATCAAATGACCGAGCGCGCTGCTTAGCCCTCAGCCATCAAAATACCAATGTAAACCAATGTAAACGTGCACATTGGAATGAAAGAACGAGGTAAGGACCTGCGCGCGTCCCCGTTTACCTGTCGCCCTCCTTCCTGCATTCTCTTTCGTCTTTTTCTCATTCTTCCGGAATACTTATCCCTTTCCTTTGGTTTCACGGAGCTGTGCTCATGCCTCGGAATTTTCCTGAGACTAGAGCGAATGTAACGGAGATGAATGCCACATTATTCTGTTTATACCATCGATTTTACATGAACACGGGGGGAAAAATTCAATTCAACTGGTGGATTGGGCTGTTGGTCGCTCGGTGCGCTCGCTCCCATTGCGGGTGGGTTGGTAGCGGATGTATTCATGTGGGTCTGACCCGCGGACGGGTCGCACCAACAACTTCCCGATATTATTATTCCTCCCATTTTGACTAAAAGAATCCTTTTCAACTCTCAATACTCTGTTTATGTATTCATGAGAAACCCTTGTCTTCAGTATAATCATTCTATATGTGATTTTCATGAGATTAAGAAAGTGTTCGTTGCTTTTTTGTCATTTTGAAATTTTCTTTCCGGGAAAACTCAAAAACCACTAAACAGATATCAGCCAAAATCTAATCCGCTCTAAGTTGAATGAAAACCTATCGATTGAAAAAAAAAAGTCAAATCGGACAATTCGTTCACGAGAAATCGTTAACCAAAATTTTGACCACATACATACCTAGTAACACACACACACAGACATTTTGTTTAAAATTGTCTAGGAACATCGAAAAGACGTTAAAACATGGAGATTTGATGAAAAATCGATTTTTGATTTTCGGGGCCATTACAATAATTTCCCTGCCGGGAAGTTAATTACCGCAGGTAATACCACGAGAGCTTGAAAATTATCGAGCGATTCCCGATAGGTTCGTTGCAAATAGAGATGCAAATGCGTCACATGACCCGTCATATGAGGGTCATGTGACCGTCATTGACGGTCACATGACGAGGCGTTCATGATGGCTGTCACAATTCCCCCTCCCCCTTCTGTGACCGTCACAACTTGTCAAGAAAAAATGACAGTCATTTTTCATCTATATAGATGAAACTATTTTTTTCTCGGTCAATTTTCAGTTGAATTCCTTTTGTATTGGCCCAATCCGCATTTTGAAATGGAAATCACGTTTTTTTCCCATCCATATAGATGAAACTATTTTGTTTTATTCATGACCGTCACAAATTGGAAATTAGTTATGACCGTCATAATGCAACTATATAGATGGATTGACAACAATTTGGTTACAAATGATTTGTGACAATCATTTGTAGTTGGAAAATTTGTGCGTCACATGACCGTCACAATACCGTCATGACGGTCATTTTGTATCTCTAGTTGCAAACAAACGAAGGAGTCAAGTTTTTTGTAAGATTTTACTTTGTTCGGTGATGAACCGGAAAATTCACAGAACGTTTCAGATTTCTTCTCTTCCATTCCTATAAAAATCGCCGGTAAACGATTCCCCATTGCGGATTACGTGAATTGTTCCGTAATTTTTACTGATTATTTCTGTCCGTGAATCTAATCATAAAATTGGCTGCATTTTTTGAATATCCTATCCTCGCCCGATTATAGTTAATGCCACTCTCCTAAAAATGACTAGTCAACTGTCCATGAAATATTAATTTTTTTTTCCAACAGTTAATTTTTTCTAACTTTTCCTCTCACGCACGGGGTCAATGCCATACATCAACCCATGAGAATATGAATGGCTCTTTGAAATTGATTATTTCCAAAACTATGGAATTTAACTCAACCAAACAAATAACATCGAAAAGAGGAATACTGTAGCTTCAATTAGATATCGGTTTCATAATTTTCCGTTGATTACAAGTCATTACATTCGTTATATCGAGCGTACTCCACGTTTGGAAACAAAAGGGCACCGTCCGTGAGGGGTCAAACAGAAAATAATGGTCAAATCGTTTTTATCCGAACTTAGAGAAAAATAATATTCCATTAATCATAATCTTCGATTGGAATAGCAATAGTTAACGAGAATAATCAACTTTTCATTACTTTCGTCAGCAATTTGAATTGTTATGATAATTATATCAATGTCGATTACTCATTGATTGAATATTCGCTATTTTCATCAAATGTTGGTTTAATAATATCTGCGTTGAGTGGAGAGACCCTTGCATTTTGTTCCCAAAACTATATCGCAAACCGGTTATTTAGCTCACGGGCATTTGCCAAGGTTGAATCAAGAATTCGTACTTTACTTGGGTTTTTTTTCATCATGCGCAAATCGAGACGTACGCTTGCAACACAACTTCAATTATCCTTCGCCATTATCCACGACGAATTCTACTCATTTCCGAGTGAGATTGCACGGGATTTAATCGCCTAATGACTCGTGGAGATGACGCGAAGCGAGTGGAGAAGGGAAAAATAGCGAGGTATTTTGTAACACAAGATTTTGAAAATCTGGGAAGATGTTTTGCACGATTTCGTGATTTCTCTTTTACCTTCATCTCGACATTGGTGAGTAACAGATTCGTAGAAAGGAGAAAAAAAGTTATGCTTGATCCAAATTATTTTCACTAGCTACGATTGATAATTTTTCTCATCAAAGTTCTCACGATTTCAGTCCTCGCCTGCGGCTCGGAGGCCAACGCCACACGAGTAAAAAACCCCATCGCAACAGGCCGGAAAAATACTATTTCATCACGCTGTGACGAAAAGTGAACTTTCCGCCACATTGTGATGAAAAATATTGTTCGTAACTCGTGAAAAAATGTTTTTTAGCTCGTGGGATTATATCACTCGCCTTCGGCTCGTGATATAAACCTCCCACTCGCCAAAAAACACTTTTTTGCACTCGTTACGAAATATACTATTTTATCACGCTGTGCGAAAAAGCAACTTTTTAGGCACGCTTCGCGTGCCTAAAACTGCCCTTTTCCACACACTGTGATGAAAAATATCGTTCGATATTCGTGGGAAAAGCGTTTTTTGATTCGTGAGATTATATCACTCGCCTTCGGTTCGTGCTATAAACCTCCCGAGAGCCGAAAAACTCTTTTCCGCACCCGTAATGAAATTAGTATATTTCGTAACGGGTGCAAAAAAGTGTTTTTTGGCGAGTGGGAGGTTTATATCA